ACCCAAATACATAAGTACTTAAATAAATTAGGTCGAACCTGGTTTGAGAGAATGTCGATGCTGAGTGCAGATGGAACTCCAACCAAGAAGGAAAGAATCAATGCTGTAATAGCTGCCCAACGTCTGCTCACTGAGAACAGGAGGAAAGAAGTTATTTGGGTCAGAAAGGAGATGAAAGTCATTGTGGGCAAGTGCACGTACCACCAAAGTCTTGAATAACTCTCACGGTTAGTTCCAAAAAGGAAATCATTGAACTGAGACCACCTGAGGATAAGCAAATGAAGAACAGGGCACACAAAATTCTCCCCATTAAACCCAGCTTGGACATAAGCACTGGAATCCTTAAATGGTAAAATATTACAAAAAAAACATCAGCTCCAAGTGTTGTTAACTGACGTCCTCATTAAATACTTAACTCACCATGTGAAGGTTAATCCAGTACTCCCGGGTCCTGTCTCTTTCATAATTGCTACGATTTGGGGGATGGTAAGTGTTGGTGATGTTTGAATGAGGGTTGAAAAGACAGTGGAAAAAATCGTTAAACCGCAGATGATGCTAAAGATTTAAGAAAATGTGGTTGATAAAATGGACAAGAAGGCAATTCAGAGAAATGTGGTCAGCGATACCTAGCCAGGTTGTTAACCGATGGCAAAAAGACTCCATAGCGAACAGCGCCGGTGTTTCGACTGAAATACGCAGCATAGGCCGACAGAAGACCCATTCCAGCAGCGGTGTCAAAACCATTCTGACAAGCAGCTTCCACATAGAGTTTTGGATCAAGCAGGGTTGCTATAATACATAACAACATTAGTACTCATAGATTACACATTTTTATCTCGTATAAATATGCAATACTAACACCAGTCAGCCGTGAACATGAATTTTATTCCAACATCGGCATAATCTCGCGACAGGGACCAAAAGAAAACAATGAGAATAATAGTGGCCTGCATGGGAACAAGGAGTCCATTTGCGATTTCGATTCCTTTTGCTCCTTTGAAGATGGCAAGTGCACAAATTAAAAGGCAAATTGCGTGACAGAGCAGAGGCCAATATGTGTGCTGCCAAATTGATAGGGTGAATAATTGGCAGATTTAAGAATAGGCGTATGGTAAAGTGGAGCTTACTGTAAAATTTTCGAAAATTAAACGACTCTCTGGTTCAGTTGCTGGTAGTTCCTGACCATTACAAGCCACATAAATGTAGTACAGACACCAACCGACAACCACGGAGAAGTAGGCCCTGAAATTCCATAAGGAAGTAGGAATAGTATACTTACCCGATAAAGAAGGTAACAGCAGAAACCCAGCAACCTATCCAAATAAACTTGTTCCCCATGAACCGTTGAAAGGCGATAGTTGGAGAACCACGAGTAAATCTACCGATACTATACTCGGTTATGATAAGCGGAATTGACCAAGTAAACAGGAAGCAAACCCAAACCATGAGGAATGTTAGACTTCCTGAAACAATAATTGTAATATTATTGATGTTAATTGTCCCTAATCTGAATAATGCGATAATCCTATTGGTCGGTAAATAAACCAATAAACAAACCTGTGTTGGAACTTGTTACAGCGATTATTCGAGGAAAACGCCAGACGTTGCCTGTTCCCATGACACATCCTATCAAGGAGAATATTAATCCTATGGAATAAGTGAATTTAGGTTGTTTTTCTTCGTCATTAACAACTTGAATGCTTCTGGACGTGGAAGGCTACGGTTGGAAAGACACAAGTGAAGAATGGTGTATTAGATGAAATACCTTTGAACACTTGAAATTAGCCAATTACAAAAAGATAAAATATGCGAAATTATGATGAAAATAATGTTTAATTTAAATTCTACTTAACAAAAATTTTAGGTATTAAGTTATCTCTGATATATGCTGATTTTCTTACAAAATGACTTTGTTGGCAGAATAAATTGCAGTAATATAATATCCAATTGTCTCAACAAAACTAACCAAGTTACGTTCACAGATGGTCTGACATACTCTCCACCATAAAGCCGGAATTGTTGCCGACAATCAAATTATCTCTTATATACCATATTCAATTGACTCACATTTGACTGTCGGTTCGGTTCTCCGGCTATGGCCATGGTAGAACTTGGTGCAAGTACTGTGGATTCACACATGCTTCCTCATAGAGATAGAGCAGAATTGGGATTTGTGAAAATGCAGAGAATATATATTGCACAAATCCACAACCTGGTGAGTTGATTTAAGTTCATTACATTTAGTTTGACAATATTCGATTGAGTCAATGCTGTTAGTTTCGTTTTGGGTTACAGCAAGCCTTTTGGGTCATGGGTATAAGCGGCAAAATTGGTTCAAATCGTATTAATAAAAGTCTAGGTAAACATGTTAGTTGCCTTATTAACAGATTAATCTCAGTCACGAGACATGTGTTATAGCATTTCTGCCATTAGCACGCGTTGTCTACATTCTATGGTTTGAGGAAACCATCTGGAGATCATGCAAATGGCTACAAAATTCAAAGGGAATGAACCAAAGTCGTTAGCATGGCGCATTGTGCCTTTTAGTCACTACGCCGTGTCTCCAGCAAAGCATACGAACAGAATTAGTTTTGCTCGATCGATAGATCCTTTAACAAAAGCGAGATTTTATCATTTAAATAAAATGTTCATGTATATTTCAATAGTACAATAATTTTGGATTTTCTGGATAAAAGTGTTTCCGCGCTGCGAATTATCAACATACATGAATATGAATAAACAAATGAATTAGGTATTAAGCCAATCCAAACTGCATGTCAGTCTCATGGGTATGTATTACACGTTGCTCCTGGTATTTTGACAGTTTGTCAATTAGCCGTCAGCGGTGTGACTCTGACTAACTTTCAAAACCAGTTCCGTGAGTCAGGCTCATTTTAGAGTCAATTAAAGTATACAAAATTAGATTGGTCAAAATTCTATCGTTTCTAAAAGGAATTCAATGTTCCATATTGCTTAAAGTAAGGTTTGATTGGGTTCTAGAGTGTCCATCCATTCAATTTTTTTCCACATTGAACAATAATCGAAGTTCATTTTTATCGTTCAAGTTAATGTCTTTCTGTAAATAAAGTCAAATTTAGAATGAGGGAATTGGATAGAATAGGTTTCATATTCCCAGAAAAATCTTCATGATATTTAAATATCCTGGGTATATCATGGAGCTTTGAGTAACTAGACATTTAGTTTCTGAATTACAATTGTAGCGGATTGCTACACGACTTGGCCTAGCATGGAAAGCCTCTCGAAATCTGCAAAGCTGCCTCAGAGAGACAGATAAACACGTATGGCGTGAAATACTGATCAGTTTTTGACTGGAGGTGTCTGCGCACCTCCAGGAATATTTGAGTGAACAGGAGATTTCTTTGTTCAGCCATGATAGTGTTATGAACTCCACCCTAAAACATCTTAAGATGGGAAGCTTTAAATCGATTTCAATAGACATCCATAATATTTTCTCTAAAGACTCTGATTGTGGATAGTTTTAGAACGCACATTTGGGAAAGGGACTTACTTAAACCCTGTTGAAATCTTGCCACACTCAAAGATGGGATAATAAACTGCTGAATTCGTCAGGTTTTTGAAAGCGACAATTTGTCATATGATGTGTCTTTTAAATTACCCTAATTGGGGTGAGGAATGACTTAAGATCTTTTAATTGCATCTGAAGGATTTTGTACCAAACAAGGTAATAAACAATTTTGTGACTAGTCCGTAAGCTTAAATACTGTTAATTAGCCATTTTCGTCATTACCTTTTGACGATGTCCTTAAATGCTATAATAAAACAATAACGATATTTACAATCCCACTCAGCAACATTATACCCTATATGCTAACATAATTCAAGTAACCTATCTAGACCCGAACCTATTTTAAATTCTTGACTGGACGTCACCAAATTTGTCTGTACATATAATGAGTTTGGCAGTAAAAATTAATAAGTGATTATGAATACACAGTTTTGTTTTAACCAGGCTTACAGTGTCTGGGCACGTGATAAGTTTCCTTTTCGGAATGGAAAAAAGTAACATCTACCGTCCTTAAGTGCAACGGGACGTATTCTCCGGAGGCTTTCAGAATCCTTTTTAGACTATTCTAAATACACTCCAGGATCAGCCATTGCTCTCCGATTGGTAACTAAGATCAATCTTACCGTGGGGACCATCTCGGCTCGTCATTCATCCATCAGTGTAACAGAACCTCACACCCTCTCAATTATTCTTACTGAGCTTCACTTAAAAATTTTCCTTTGGCATCCGCATACCATAGACGCAATCTTAACCTCTACTGTCATTTGTCATCTGGATGCTCGTGGACATTGCAGTTTTGATGTTGCTTAAGAGAATTCTGTTAAAAGAGGTAGACAGACTTGACCTATAGTGCTTTGACAGTGATTTCTATACGACACATGTCTTGCTGCATTTCATATGCTATTCAGAAACCTAATAAAATACATTTGATTTCAACCGGGATAAATACTTGTTTCAAGTACTGAAAGAGCACTTTCAAATTTTGTCGTATTTGATAATAGGGCCTATGCTCCATTCTTCCTTTTGAATATGTTATTCCATTGCTACTGTAATTATTTTAGTAGCGACTGATCAGTTAAATTCTCGACATACAAGCATCATATAAATGCGAATGACTTTCATTACTTCAGCATTAGGAAGCATGAATAGCTGAGTAAAGGAAATCACAACTTACATTTCTCTAAGTTCCCAATTAATAGAGTTATAAATAAAGAAAGAAGACAGAAATGGGGAACAAAAAGTGTTTATATAAGTCAGGTACAATAGTCCAGGAGATAAAAAACCGAGTAACTGAGCACATTCAGCTGAACTAGGTCCTTTAGACCTGGGTACACTATAAACTAACGACCTAATGAATTCAGTTTGATTTTATTATTGACTGGCTTAAAAGTAGGCATTTTAAGTTAATAGCTTTAAATGGTGAGGCAAAATCAGTGGACGGAAATCATGTGGCGTTTAATAAAATAGGTTCTAACTTCTTCGGAAAGATGGTAAGTCTGAATCCAAGATTCAGTTTTTAGTTATTTGCGAGCTCCGATAATTTTCGCCGAGGTCCTCCTTTACATTACGATTGATTCAGTAAACGAAACCATAAGAAATGTGCCTGGTAACGGATTTCCAATTCTAATATTACCATTTACGGTTTTGTAAATTTTTTAGACCTCCAATCCCAAATTTTCCCTATTACACATTAGATATTAACAAAACTTTGAATTCCAATAAATGGTTCAAAGATCATAAATAATAAAAAATATTAACAAACCGTATAGGGAGATATCATACAGCCGGCAGATCTCCCACTATAACTTCTCAGAATGGGAGACAAAAGGCGACTTGACTTGAAGCATACAGCCAAAACTGATTCTCACGTAAAGGCTGTAGTTAAAAGTGAAGAAATTACGATGGAATAAAAGCAAGTTCCTGTAAGAATTCAAAAACAATACACATGGAATAAGGGTATGGGTTTGTGGGAAAAAAATGCAACCTAGAAATATGAAGGCCACGGAATGAACAGGGTTGGTAATGCTCAAGTAACCGCATAACCTCAATCCACGAAAAGGGAGGTGCCATTTACCCAGCACTGTACGTGGATCAGCAGTAAAATGGCTTCCTCCTAAGCACCGTAAGAAACCACTCTTCGTTTAATCTATATCGTTAAACCTCCGATAATGGATAATCAATAGATGATACCACTATTCGAGCCCTAATATTAAGAAGGAATTAAGAGATATTTTTTAAGGCATTCAATATAAGCATCAATTTCTTTTACTATCGTACGATTCATCAACTGCTAATATTATACAATTTGATAATTAATACTGAAAAGCAATTAGATGAGTATTAGAACGAATAAAAAGCCTGAAGAATACACCTAAGATTTACCTGACTCACACTAGTGCCTAATACGAAGCAAGTTTTGAGGCGGTCAATTATGCAGATCTTATTATTAAATCGTAATGCTTTTTATTTCCATCCTGTGGTGTCTAAGGCTATTCCTACCCACTCAAGACAGCAACAAAGATACATCTACCACTTAACCCAAACAGCCTTCGGTACCTCGATAGCCTACTCATGCTATTCGAATAACTTTTGACGATAGATATGATTGCCGGTGGCATCTTCCCAGTTTTTTCATTCTGGCGTTTACTATTAGAAATGCACAAATTAATCGATGCATGTTACGATTTGAAACTAAAAACTTGCTCTCAAAGTTAACTCGTACCCATGGAATGCTAGCAAGTTAGAACACTGAGAGACAAAACATAGATAGACAGACAAGACAAGCAAACTTAGAATACATTCAAAAGTACGAAAGCATCATAAGAACTAAATAGCATTTGAATAAGATCTTTATACAATTGTGTACAGTTAGAATATCACTAGCTTGTTACTTTTTAGCGGCTTTTCGTTTGTTGCGTTCTATTCGCTTTCGACGGCTAATATGGCGGCGCATGTCCTTCTTGTTCATCCAAACAGGGTAATTTCCATGTTCATTCATAAGCGGTGGTAGTTTCTTTTTCTTTACCTCTGTATCTACTACTAAAGAATCAGAATCGAAAAATAAAAGTTATAATAATCACACACCTTGTTCCTTGGGAATAACTTCCACAACTTGGGCATTTTTTGCATCAACATATGGCAATCCTGTTCCACCAATAGGTAAATTAATCACTTTTTTGAGAATCGCAGCTGCCTTTGGCATGGCTTTATGGCGCTTTTCTGCCTTAAACTTCCTTTTTATCTTACTGCGCTTACTTTTAGCCATCGCACGTCGTATAGTAAGTCAAATGCACAGCTTGGCGCATTAACCACTTAAACAATAATTGTTATTTCAAAAATCAAAAGTTGCGTTATAAACAGTATTAAATTAAATAAAGCAATGTCAATTTATATTTCTAGTTCGATAGGTGAAGCAGTTTAAATGTCTCTGGGATAAGATAGCAAAAATGCGAAATCTAAAAATTCGGTGAAGATTTTCATTTTGATGAAATCAATACGGTTGTTAATATTCCATTGAAGTAATTTATTTTACCCTCCCTCCTACTCTATTTTTATTTATAAAGTAACCTTTTTATTTTTGTCCCACGAATTATAGATGGCTTACCAAAAAGAATTAAAATACAAAATCGAAACTTATGTATATTTTGCTATAAGTTATTCTTTATAAACATTAATTCAATACATGAAAATATTATAAGTAAAACAGCAATTCTATTTCGTATGATTATAAAATGCCATCTTTAATTCATAAAGTAGATATGAAAGTTAAAGAGAACGCTACCAAATGATTTGCTTCATTTTTCAGGGAGAGCCTCGCGAAACCAACATTAAGACCAATTCCAATTTTCTTCCATGAAATCAGAATGCGAGCGTTTGCTTATGCACCGATTGGTACGAAGGTATGGATGTTGCACTTAAAGGCAAGTATCATCATCTGCCTTTTGTTGTAATTATACACCATGTAGATCTTGGGAAGTTGGATTTATCAAAGGAATTCTGCAAGTCGGAATCGAAATAGAATGTCAAGAATATCCGACAACAAGCACGCATCGGAGTTTCCATCAATTTAATAGTTTTTCTTAATGAGTAAAATCAGCCCTGATGCCTGCCAAAATGTGATGAAAAATATGATTATTGGATTAAAATTCAAAGCTGCATAAATGAACCTCACGTATTTTTCCACATAGCTCAAAGAGGGATATATATCAAACATCGCGTCCGCTAATACCAGAAACATTTTATTGGTGTTGCAATGAAAAAGTGTACTAACTTTGTCCGTGTTCATAATCCTACTCTTCTGATAGACTACAGACTTTTTCTCATTTTCAGATTCAGAGAATACATTTTAAAATTCTTAATCGTCTTTTGGGCTATTACGTAATTGTGCTAGGATATGACTTCGAAGTTAAATAATGGAGGGATACTGAGTTTGGTCAAACTGCCGGTTGATTATGAATCAGTAAAAGCATTAGAAGAAGTAGTAATAACAAACATATCTTTGGATAGAATAAATATCGCATTCTTACCCTACATTACATCAATCAAATTTAGGTAAATAGCCCATTTTCGACATGCTCACAAGGAACCTGGAGAAAGATAGAAGGGATTGACAGAGGATACTGAATAGTACATCTGCTATAAAACCACAAATTTAATTAGCGGTTTGAATCATTAATCAGGTGATAGTATCGAAGATCATGGCAAATGAACCACCAAAAGTCATAGAGAGGCTCTCTTACCAGTTGATGATCTCGGGTTTGACGGTGATTTCAGAATCGGTCACTTCTGTATGACTGGAACCGTAATCAAACGACGAGGTAAAGACAACTTCACTTTTTATTAAACACTTTTGAATTTTCTCTGGGCAATCGGGTAAGACCCGAGAAAGAACTTCGAACCAGCAAACACTCTTCTCAAAGAACCAGTCGAAAGTCTAAAAAGACTTCAGATGAACTTAAATTTGAGGAAAAATGTTGAAGAAGTAATTTAAAAACAATGGTGTAGAGGAAGAAAAAATATATGTAAAGGGAAAATTATTTTACTTTAGATATTTATTTTACAGTTTAGCACTGAAAGCGACGCTTAGTTATGAAATTCCTTATCTGACTCAGCGAAGAGCAATGTGCAAAATACAAATTTCCTAAGAAAACGGGCTATTCCAAGATAAAGTTTTCTATTGCCATAACTGTGAATTTTCGGGATTGCTAGCAGGAATTAATTCAAAATGAAGTTTTATAGATAAGTTCTGTTTTCTTAATTTTTTAACCTGCAACTTTCAAAGCATTCGAAGTTATCTATTGAGAGGTGAAGGCTTCACATCCTCATTCACTGTTCAAGTACGTTTTAAATACATAATAATGGGACTAATTTTATGAAAATGAATTCTTTCTGTTCCTTTCAGTGTCCTTAAAACGGCTCTCATTATCGCTAAGTTCTTTACAAAATATCCGTACTGAACAGATATATCTATCAAAACTAAAGAAAAACGGAAATAATTTAAAAAGATCAGATTAATTGAAGGAAATTCTGCTCTTATTCTGCATCTAAGAGATGTATATAAAAAACAAGCATTCTGAATACAAAAAAATAGCAGTTAAATAAAATATCTGAATTTAAGAGTTTCAGCAATTCACAGTTATAAGTACTATTAGCTTAAGTGAGAGAATATGCTAGATTGTTAATTATAACAAATAGTATCAGCGGCATTTTGAATATTGTCGGTTTTGTCCTTAGCCATGATTTTAATGTCATAAATCTTTTACTTTTATTTGATTGTGTATTTGATTGTATAAATTTTAGAATGATTCACTTTCTGGCACTATTTAGTCGCCAAGGCAAAGTGAGACTTCAGAAATGGTTCATTTCCTATACCGAGAAAGAAAAAAAGAATATTTTGCGAGAAGTTATGGCTTTGGTTCTCGCTCGCAAACCGAAAATGTGTTCTTTTCTTGAATGGAAGGATATGAAACTAGTCTATCGGCGGTATGCAAGCCTATATTTTCTCTGTGCAATTGAACCTGGGGACAACGAGCTCCTTACACTAGAAATAATTCATCGCTATGTCGAAATTCTTGACAAATATTTTGGAAATGTACGTCGTGTTTTATCCGTTTTTATCGATCTAGGTTTGCGAATTGGATATAATTTTCCACTTTGAAAAAGCCTATTTCGTTCTCGATGAGTATCTCTTTGCCGGTGAGGTTCAAGAAACCGGTTATCGAAGTATAATGGCGGCCATCGATGCCCAGGATATGCTTCAAGAGGTTTGATTATCTCTTTTAACCCATCGATTTATTAACTTCCTGACTATTAGGACGAAGTCCCCCAAAGCTTCTTTGAAGATCAGAGCCTAAATTGACATTTTCCCTCCACGAAACTGTGATTTTTAAACCAAAAATACTCTTTTTTGTTAATAAAGTATAATAATTTCAATTCCCCTACGTTCTCACAATAAAATTGATCGAAGTCAAAGGTCTCGGTGATTAGCAATACTTTATTGGAAATTAGTGAGCAAAAGGAGCGCTTAATTGTACTAAAAATCGGCTTGGCGCTTGAGAAAATCGGCTGTGTGTGTGCAGAAATCGTGTGGTCTCAACTTTCTCTATTCGCGAGAATGTCTGCTGCGGCAAGTGAGTTGGCTTCTATTGCGAGTTCTTGGGGCGTTAGACCGAGGGAGTTCTTTTTATTTGGGTTTGCTCCGAGTCTGAGAACGATAAAAGACACAACGTTAATCAGTTACTCTATCACAGTAGCAAACACTGCATTCATGTGGAAACTTGGGAGGTCTCATGGTGGGATAGTAATAGTAATGAAGAATAGAGAGCATGTGCCAGAACTAAGACCGATTTCAGGGTATTAGGCTACTATCCCTCAAAATCTATCCAATTTGTTTACTTTTTAATATAGAGAAATGACTGGACATTGGGAAAAATCAATGCAGAGGAGAGCTTGCTAGGTGTATACATACCATGAAAGAGGTTCACAGTGTAATAGGGAACAAGCGAGATCTGTCAAATAGGTAAGAAACGGAAAAAATAATAAACAGTCAAGCTTAGAATGTGCCCTCTGCACGCTAGTGACCAGCTGTGGAAAGATCACAGGAACGATGCTGATCGGAACAGGGCACAAAGAGAGTATATCCTAAGAGCTAGTAAAGGATACTTTCCTCCTACCCAATGTCAAACATTGGAAAAGCGTTTTCAGATAGGGTTAGCAAGAAGGAAAATTAGGCAAAGCCATTGCATCGCATAAAGGTAGAAATAGCAAAATCGTGTGCGATACTACTCGGTGAATAATAACGAGCATTCAGAAGGGAGACAAGTACATCAATAAGATGTCCCTCCTCTCTGTGAAGCTCGAAGTCAACTAAAGGGCTAATGGCAACTATCATACAGCCTGCCATTTGATATAAGTAAATATTTAACTTTCTAACATTAATGCGTGAAAATAACGCAAGTTCCAAAGCACTAGAAGTTACATCACCTGGAGACCACGCCAAAAAAGGAGAATTTGCTCAAGAAAGAAGACTCACTTTAGAAGCAATTTGACGAATTCCACAGCCCGAGAGCCCAATAGAACGGCCTCATGAAGTGGGGTATTTCCATCTCTGAAAAGAATATAAAGTGAGAAATAGAAATGAAAATTAGTTACACTAATTGCTATCTTTAACAAATTAAAATCTTAAAAAAGGGTATATTATGTCATCTGATCCAAAGAAATAAATGATTAGAAGAAACATATCCAAACACAGTTGTCAAAGGAAATTCAACAGATTGGATCAAGTTCACCAAGAAATAAATCACTAAATTTTGAAAGCTTTTCCTACATGATGCCAGAAAATATACAAGTGTGAGTCAAAAAGTTCTCAGGCAAATACCATAACTTTAAATAGGACAAAGGTTCACAAGTTTTTACATGTTCAGATTTATCTGTAAAGCTTCCTACCTAACATACATCTGTCCGGTCATTCTAAGTGCGCTCAGGATCAGGGCAGTTTGCATCTCAAAATAGCTAGCAGTTTCCAACCCCCTCCCCCCCCCCCCCCCAAATGGCAAATTTTAAAAACATTTCAATAGTGTACCTGCTACTCATGGCACTCATATCAGCACCGCACTTGACGAGAACATGGATGACCTCTAAATGCTGATTTCGAACAGCTCGCACCACCAATGGGTCTCCATAGTGATCCACACATGATGGGTTTGCTCCCTAAATGAAATCAGTTGTAATAATAATAACACTTACGTTCATTAGAAGTCGTTCTACTGTGTACATGTCAGCCTTGTGTCCCGGTCGCAATTCACGCATCAAGGCATTATCCACTTCCTAAGCGCAGTAAAGTAAAACATCAAAACAAAGCATACCGATGGCTTATTAGCATGAACTTGGAATGATTTTTTTGAAAGTTTTGAAGTTGATGAGGGAGAACGCAACGCCACAATCTTTCCTAAAAACAGATAAACACAAGCAACTTCCGCTTTAGGAAGCTACAACTATTCAAAGAAAGTAAACGTGTTTTCAGGTAATGCTGTAGAAAGAGAACCCCTAAATTAGGTTTCATATAATATTAGTAAGAACTGGCTCTCATAACTTATGACAGATATACTCAGTAGCGTTTGAACTCATCCAAGTTCTAGATTATAAGAAGATTGATGCAAGTGATGATGGCAACTTCATTGTATTAACAAAGAGTCGTTATTTAGAATTAGAAAATTAGGATTAAAGGTAGTGAGCAATTGTGAACACGGGAACAATTGGCATGAAGACGTCCCATCCTAGGCAGTGGCCTTGAGGACACGACTACCAACTTCTCTGCAATATCAGCAGATTAGAGGAAAAACAAACTCGCCGATTCACTAAATTAGTGAAGTATGCTGCTTTTCATCGTAACAAAATAAGTCACTTAAGCAATCACGTCGTCTCAGAATTATCCAAACTACTGTAATGACTTGATATATCATTTAATCTATGACACTTGTTCAGATTCAGTTTATGATATTGGCAATTTTTTTTATATAAATGGGTTAACCACCGATAGATTAAACTCATTAAATGATGAAAGAAATCAGGTCATACTGCGAAATGTTTGGCTATTCTGTTGAGTTGGGGTGCTAGCGGAGGAAGGATTTCTTAAAGGAGTATTATTGCGGTCACCACTGAGGGGACGAGAGGAGTAGTACGATTTGGCGGAAGGCGGAACTTCAACCAAAACTTCCACTTCACCACCAATGCTACCGTTACCTTTGCGTGTGGGGAGGTGAATTGAAGGATCGTGCTGGTGGAAGGTGAGGAGAATAGATACCTCTTCCGGTTGATTACCCATGACTTCTGCTGAAAGGAGCTTTAGGGAATGGAAAGTATTAAACATATCTAGCGCTACCTTGAACGAGGAGCACTCGTCCATTCATCAATAACTTTCTGATTTTGACCATAAAAGGACAATCATAACAATATAAAATTCGTATGCCGAACGTATCCAAAAATCATTCGCATTTCTTACTTAAATATTCAATTTTTGATCTACAGTGCTCCGCCATCCTCCTAAATATTCCACTGAGTCAATTCCAACCCTGGATAATTTTAACCTGGTTAGAACGTATTTGATATATCAATAGCGTCAGTTGAAGTTGAATTTGAGTTTAAGGTGTTTTCTCTGAATTAAACAAAAAAGATTGAAACATCATGGAAAAAACCAGGTAGTCATCGAACTTACGGTCAACTAAAATACAATGAAACAAGAAGAGACACGGTCAATAAACTCTATGCTAGAATAACTGACAGTTGAAGGCTGAAACGATGCCAGATTGACGAGACCTTTAGACTTTAGTACTACCTAGATTTTCCATTAAAACGTCCAAAGAAAAAACTAGCCATGTTGGCACGACCAATGAAAAGGATGAGCGAAAATGTACCAAGCGGTCCTGAAACACACCAAAATGTGCCTCAGTGATACGAGTTATAAGGAAAATATATCTAAACCAAATAATACATTTCTATTCTACTTGGAGTAAAAGACCCCAAAGATTGAAAAATGACCTGGGAACAATGACCAAAATAGAGCAAAAATGATGACAGAGTAATAGAAGGGCTTTGAAGAATTACAATTAGGCTTACCTTTCCTAGTCGGGGTTCACTGATTGCCTTTTGAAATTCTGGATCAGTGTTAGCGTAGGCCTTTATATGAGCCACCAAATGCTCTACCTGCATTCGCCACAAACCTTTAAAATAAACAAAATTATGGTTCTACTTAAAATATATTAGTAGCATTTAATAAATAAAAGATTAACCTTTGCCAGGACTGACGGGGGCAATTATTGGAAGACTAGTTCTCGAAAACTCCTTTGGTTTACTGTTGGAAGAAGGACTATAAGAAGAAAGTTCCATGGTCTGAGTAGACGCTGTCTTTCTTAAAAATCTAGCAGGGGTAACTGGGAAAGGAATAATACAAGGTATTAATACGAAATAGAGATTAACAACATTTGATTGGCTGAAGAAACTTACCTGTAGGTTGATCACCAAAACCATTGATTTCTTCAAGTGCTGAAAGCTTAAATCCACATTGATGACAAAAATTTGAATCTTTCGGTGACTGCCAGAAACAACTTGGACAGATGCAGTTCATATTTTCGATTAATTCTTCTTCGCCTGGATCTTGAATTCCACACCAATCGCAGAACCTTGCACTCAAGCCATTCTGTCTGGAACAGATTCGACAATTGACAAAAGATGAACCCTTTGAATTATTAATAGGGATGGGAGTAGAGGTACGGAGAAATGGGGAAATATTCACAAGAGTAGTTGGCGTTTGAGGAAGATTAGCTTCACATGTAAGACAATATTTTACTCTTTCTGGATTAAGGGAACCGCAAATTTGACAAATACGACGATTCGTGCTTTCTGGAGACGCAGTTATTGTAGACTCGCAAACAAGACATTTAGTAGAGCCGACAGGAACTTTGGAACCGCAGATGGAACAGAATTCAAGATTGGCGCCGGCAGAAGTTGACATAGGTTGTAGTGACCCTCCACAGCTAGTGCAAAAATTTGATTCAGGATCGTCAGGTTTGGGGGCCAGGCATGTTGGGCAACTAGGTGAACTAGTCTACTTAAATAATTTGAGTATTTACTTGAATATATCAAGTGTCCTTAAGCGACGAGCTATTTCATTCTTTTTGCCATTAGAGCGGGTTTTCTTAACGAAATATAAGCAAAGTGTCATTCAAATGAAACGCATCTTAACTAATCAGGAATAGCAAACTAGGATAAAGAATTACCTCACCGAGTTTTGACGCGTTCTGCAGACAACAGTGAATGAGATTAAATAGAGGGAAAGGAAGTGGTAACTTACTGGCGGGGGGTTTTGATTTTCATCCTCACTTCCTAAAGTGGACAAAAGAGATAAAATCAGTACACGACTCAGGGAAACGAGCAATCTAAGGAAAAATCAAAGCTAGAGGTTGTCAAAATTAGAGTTAGACAAATTGCCAAGCAGACAAATAATAAGCATGAAGGCAAACAAAAGTAATGGTAAACAGAAATATACATGAGAATAAAATAATCAATAAGCATGTACAAAATAAATGCCCACAATAAAGAACAATTTATCAATTTTGATTTATTGTGCTAAGTATGCTGCCAGGCAATTGTCAATGACAAGAATAATAACAAACACAAATTGCTCAAAAGGAGAAATTGAGAACTCTCAAAGTTATGAAGTATTATCACAACCGTTACAAGATAAGAACACAAAAAAGTAGAAGACTTAATTGAGTTCAACACTTAAAAGTCTTTCTATGCCGCTACAATGGTCATGACGAAAAGTACATGTGGAAAAGCAGGAAACTATAGTGTGAATACTTACACTAGAGGACATTCGCCTCGTAGATGGAAGATGGATATAGAAAAGCTTAATAAGGAGGGGGAGGCGTTGGGGGGGGGGGAGTAGACAGTGCAGAGTTCGAGGGCTAAGCTACTGGCAAAATGATCGAAGCACAGTAAGTAGCGTGTGGAAAAAATCGATTAAGACCAAAGAATATCTATAATTAATCGTCCTGAAAATGTATTATGTTGTGGTGCTGAAAGCACGCCAGAAGTAACGAACTTCAAAAAGTAAGAGAAAAATAATACCGGAACATTACTTCAACATACTGGACGGACTAGGGAAGACTTCGTTAGGAGCACAGCAAAGTGGGAATATAAATTATAAACTATACTACCGCTTGACGCTTGTAGGCATAAAAATAGCCAAACGTGAAGCCAAAAACTGAAGAGGAATCAAAGGAAGAATCACTCAGTTATAATGCCAAATAATTCAAGGTACCTTATATTTAAGCCATTAAAACACCAAATGCAGCATAAATATAGGCATTACCATTTCATTTCGATTATAAAACCCAGCGTTAAACATGCAGCAACATGCAATATTATCCATCACAGCAGGATAAAAGAAGCGACTTTACCTCAAGACAACAGGTTCTGTTTTCAGGTAAAATAAAGGGAAATATAGATGGGCCATAACGAATAATACATTCAATGATAAGGCAAACTACCCAATGAAATTGTGAGTTTCTTCCCATTGGCTGGAGGCTTTCTACGCAGTAGAAGGGAATCTTTCACAGAAACCTGCATCTTCTTCATCTCCCTCTTTAGTTCCTTGACGAAAAGATAATCGTCCGGCTTGGGTTGGCCACCGCCTTCTCCATTTGAATTTACTTTAGAAGCCTCAGCAACATCGAAAGTTTTAGCCACTATATTGCTCTCCTGGCCCGTGTCCCTAAACAAATTTATCCACAAGCGGGCAAAAAATGAATCAGCTTTACACAATGCTACTAACAGAAAATAGGTGGGATTACGAACGGTAATAAAGCCATCGCCTTAATGGTTTTCAAACCGGATTGAAGAGTAAACGAATTCCGATAGAGATAAGTAGGACCAGGTTGTGGTTTTCGAGATTTCCAGGACCTGGGATCTGGTCTGGATCCATCAACTGTAAAGTAAATCTGCGCTCTGGGAGTGTCTGTAGATATCTCAATTTGAGTAGCACTGTCTATAGCATTGCTGTGGTGATTATGTGATAGTGGTCGAAGGGGGATTATCAACGGAGCTTTTACAGAACCAGCTGACATCACCTAACAATGAAATCGTAAAAAGGCCGATTAAAGATTTAGTCGATGAGAAATAGAATGTCACATGTGTAATTTCATGATGATGAGAAAGCTGACAGAAATAAGCGTTAAGGGATTTGGATTCCACTCATAACGCGCGATCAAGCCAAGGAGTGAATAATACAAGTAGAACTACACATACAACCACTAAATGAAAAAGACAATGACACAAAAAATAATTTATTTATCCAAATCAATGCAAAATATAGAAATAATCAAAACCAATGATTGGCTTGACAGGTTTTGGTCCACTCAGTATGGCATATCCAACACCACTCGAAACCACAGATACTACACGTCATATGATTGCAACCACCATCTTTACTTGTCCAACTTTTACACCGAGGACATGTCTTACAGGAAGCCGCGATTAAGGAAGAAGTGGCTAAATTGTCAGTTTTAATCGAAACCCCAATCCACGATCCAGTAATTTCCTTTCGACCAATCTGGTCGGATATTGATGGTTGATTAATAATTGAATCATATTGATTACACGTGCATCCGACATTGTCCGAGTCGATAACATTATGACAAGAAGAACAGAATTGTGCTCCACATCCAAAGGGCTTTTCACATACGACCCAATTAGATCGAGATTGAAAATCGGGTGGCTCCCAAAATGCTCCACAATTTGGGCATGAAAAAATACCTTCGGAGTAGCACGAAAGTCTAGCTGCTACCTCTTTATAACGAGAGTAGAATGTCTTTCCAAGGATGCGAAATAGGTGAGTATCAGTAACGTGAGAATTTGGACAACCCATAGGGCAAGAAAGGGTTAAACCAATATCTGGTATCATTTTAAATCTCGAATCTGAAAGATAACTCTCAGTATACCTCCGAAAACAGTCAAGACACAAGACGTGACCACTGTCACCACAGAATTTAATAATAATTTCCCTGTCTTTGTAAAGGCACGAGATACATAATAAATTGTCCAAATTTCGGAAAACTTGTTCCAGAAATATCACAGGATTGTGTTCGTTATCGTTAGAACATTTCATAAAAACTTTACCAGAAATACTTTGACATTGTTTGCAAATGCCACTAACCGCCTTGATTTTCGGATTACCAACATCAGAAGATAGAGCAAAATCTGGGGAAGTACATTTGTCACAGTAAGTAGTAAAAACAGCAGGAGTCACATTGTCACAACAATAGCAAAGAACATAAAAATGATTGAGATTGGTATGTGGAAGAACGTCGACGGAAGTTTCATCAGCAAGAAGAAAATCGAAGTCTGAAACCTTTCCCCAGTCAGTCAGCTGAGTCCCATTATGGGAAAGCAAATGTGCATGGGGGTCACATTTAAGCTCCATACAAACGAATTGCTTGAGAAAGAGAATACTCCAACTCTTTTCAACATGAATGGATACCGATTTATCACCGAGATGAAATACAACTGGCATTTTTTTCTATCAATACCAAAAACAATGCTTTTAAGAAAAGAAAGGCAGTAAATTACCTTTGATCAATGCCCATAATCAAAATATATATCCGATTAAGGAGCAAAAGTAATAATTTAAATTAAATGAAAATATTTATAAATATACGCCACGCTATTTTCTATTAGACTTTACCTAATAAATCGTACTTGGCGGCACTCCGCCCAGAAGAAATAGGTATCGAAAATAAATATCTTCATCCTATCACTTGTAGGTCAAACAATAACTAGAAGCAATTTTCAACAAAACTAAGGTAATCCAACTTTTAGTTATTTTGTAATAATAAAATAGTGCCAGTGAATAAATATTTGCTTATAAATTGTTGCTATTAATAGTATGCTCCTCAACTATAAAATCAAGTATTAACAACTTAGTTCGTGCATATTCCTTATTGAGTTATATCATATCTGGCCGTTTTTAAGTAATTTTGAAAAATTTCTTTGACCTAAACAAACTAATCGAATTATATAAGGATATCTGAGAAGGGATTTTCAAATTACGAATTTTTGATGGTACTCTTACCACTTGGACTTTAACTGTATTGCGAAAGTTTCTGGATCATGGCTTTCCAACCGAAACAGTAAAGCTTTATTTTATTTAAATAGAAGTAAATTAACCTAGTATAAGGGGTAAAAGTTAATATAAAATCAATGGCCAGGAAAAAATACTGCGAAGTCTATCTACGCCTTTTTTATTTTAAATCGGTGACACCTTCGACTGAAATGAAACAAGAAGAGCGATTCAAATTACACCAATCAATAATGCACAGATTATCCAGAAGTCCTATACCCTCTCTTTTCCTATGTCTCTAGTGTCTGAGTCTGCCTTCATAAATATGAGTATTGTGCACAAACTTACTTCAGAATACAACTAAGGAAAGAAAACGAGGTTATTTATTTTTATCATAAATTCGCAATTTTCTAATAAATTGGAACTTATTTAAGTTGTGTTTTCAAAGTACAAGACGATTCTCAAGCTGGATATTGTTTTCCCCTCACCTCACTGATCCACTTGTGAGATGTCATTCACAAATTTAAACTAAAAACATTTCAAATGTTCAGTTCAAAACGTTCTTTTAATTAGGAATAAACCTTTTGTTTGATCGCCTGAAGAAGACACTATAAATAAAGAAATACATTTCATTAAGGTGTTTAAAATTTCTCGGAATTAAATTTTTGTATTTGCTACATAGTGCTAACGCAGTGAAGATAGGCAACCTCATGCACATCCAAATATTTGTGAACTTATGTCCATAATGCTGATCGCGTTAGGGGTCAGCATGTGTGTCATTATCCGGAACGCGAGATATACTACTGAGTTGTCACAACCTCAATGTGGATCAATGTTTACTTTTCATTTCTGTGAGCAAGGAAATCTGCAAATTCGTAAAAAAGAATCTAAGTATCGTCCTGTTGTTTCAAAGCAATTTCGAGTCTTTTAATTCTTTTAAAATCAAACAGAAAAAATTAATATGTTTGGTTTCCTTACCACCTTGCTTTCAAGTTATAAGTATAAATTAGTAAAGAAACCAGTTGTGGCCTTTTTACTTGGGCAAATCAGTACAATGCAAATACTTCATGATCGCACAGTTGCTAAGCTCGATGGGAGCCTAAGGCGTCAGTTACCATGCCTTAATTTCTCCATATTTCGTTGAATTTGGTTTCCTCTTCCGGAATACAGTTGCATCCATTTGGAATGCTTCCTTTATTTCGTGCATTTTAAAGGCAGAAAATACTCTATGGCAACCGCTGGTATTTCGCATCAAAATTGCAAATTTTTACAACTAGCAATAAGCTCCAACGAATCCGGTATAAGAATTTGGTCAATTCAATAGATAAGTTATAAAACGGGCATTTCCTTAAAATTTGATTGCATATACAAATACTAAATTTCCATTATTTATATAGATAAGTAGGCCAGAGGTAAATGAACGTCTAATATCTTTATCTGAGATGAGATTTGAGGTACACGAGGAATACAACCTTCAACACTACAGTTACGCGGGTGCAGAAGATTGGAGAAATTAGGGAGTCTTCCTGGTATCAAGTCTCGATCTGTCCATCTTCGTCTTAATGACCTTAATGGGTGTTAATATATATGAACCTTATATTCCACTAAAGCTCACTTTTGAGAATTATTGAGGCGGATGTTTCACTGGAATTTAGTTTTTTTGAACTTAAGTAACTCTGGGCAAAGACAACAGAGATTCTACTTTGACTCGGAATAAGCAATTCAGTATGAGAGCGCACCCTGCTCTTGATAGCAAAGTTTAGTTAGCCTGGTTAAGGCTGTAGCGGATTAGCTACCTCAATAACCTTGACTATTCTCAGAAAGCTCTATAGCAGTTTCTTCCAACTTGAAAGTCCCTGGGAATTAGCTAAACAACATTTCTGATCCTGCACGGAACAGCGATAAGAATTCGGATAACAAATTAGCGAAAGGGTCCGTAGTTGGAAGGACGACATTAAGACCGAAAGTATTTTTGGGTTCTGTAGAACACCCCACTCGCAATGACGTGGCGTTATCCTGGAGGGTTCTGTCTCGGAGGTTGACTAATAACTGGAACTTGGTAAGAAAATCAGCTCCGATGATGGGATTTTTTACATCTGCGATAATAAAGGTGAATGGAAACTTTTGACGGAGGCCTAAGTCTATATTAAGAAACTTCCGGCCGTAGACGGCAATCTTAGAGTTATTGGCTGCAAAAAGTGGATTTCCGATTGGTGTTAGACAACGTTTTTTCAGTAAATGAAGAATAAAGCTGACTTCAGAACCTGTATCGACCAGGAATCTGATCTTTGAATTTCTGTCAGGCGACTTTGGGAATGGTGAAAGGTCAGTAGTCGCCTTTACTGTCTGGCGTTGGAGTTTTTG